TTTTCAATTCTGCTTTCTTTCAGTTTCTTTTTGAAGCATAAGTATGGATCCTTGGCTCCCACGTAAAAGCCTAGCATGGTGGTGTGTGTCTGTAACTCAGTGTAAAACAGTGGAGCTACTGGTGCCCTGTCTGATGAGAGAAATCTTGATTTCACATTTTAATGCAGCCTGTAAAGAGCTTTTCAAGCATTCTGTTTTGAGATTGTGAAAAATTAAGTGACAGTACCATACAAATACAGTGTTTAGAACTTAAAGCCTCAAGATATGTTACAGTGTATATGTACAAAGAAGTTTATCACATTCATATTTCATATGATTAAATTAACTCTACAGAGTCAAATCAGGACCATTTGATTTTATTCAGAATCTTGACATGCTGGATGATCTTTAGTATAGTAGTTTATAGACTTTGGATTTTAACTTACTATAACCATAGATACTGCATCGTAACTAGGCTACTCTACTAAGTAAGCACGGTACATTCATGACCAGTGGACTGCTTAGTTCCACTATAGTGCCTTCTGTTACATGTTGGACTTGGCTTTCTCCTTTGTAAAATTCTTATTCTGCAGATGGCTCATCTGGTAAAGATGCTTGCCACCAAACCTGGGGGCATGATTTTTTTGATTCCCAGGACTCAACTTGTTGTTAGATGGAGAATGAACCTCTACAAGTGGTCCGTGGTCCTCTGACTCCCACACATGTGCCATGGGTATGTTTGCTCCTGCACACTCTACTCTCCTCCTACCCACCCACTCCCCACCCCCAATAAATATAATTAAAGCTTCTAGAGGATCTGGCAGTGGTAGTGCATGTCTTTAATCCCAGCACTTGGGAGGCAGAGGTAGACAGATCTCTGAATTGGAAGCCAGTCTGGTCTACAAAGTGAGTTATAGGACAGCCATGATTAAAAACTAGGTAGATAGGTAGATAGATAGAGTTTTTAGTGATTAAGAGTACTTGGTGCACCCATGTCAGGCAGCTCACAACTAGCACTGTAAGTCCAGTTCCTTAAGATCCTATTCCTCTGTAGACAACTGCATTTACTGTACATATCCACATGTAGACACACAGTCATAACATGAAATTAAAAATTTTAAATTCTAAAAAAAATTTTCAAAGTGATGTGTGTAGCACTGATGCCTTTAAAAAAAATAGTGAACACAACCTGGCTTGGTTCACTTGGAGTTTGCCTATCTAATTTGCCTTGTGGAATCCCTCTTTCCTGTCAACTTATGGGGTTAGTTTTCCATGCTTTCTCCACTAAGACTGCAAAGATTGTCTGTACTTGACTGTCTTCAGCAATTAGCACACTTTTACATTACATCATTATAGTTTACATTATAGACATTCAAAAGTATTTCTTCCCTTTATTGGGTCTGGATCAGGATTTTCTCTATGTAGCCCTGGCTGTCCTGGAATCTGCTCTGTAGACCAGGCTAGCTTCAAACTTAGATTAGCCTACCTCTGCTGGGATTAAAGGTGTGTGCCACCATGCCCTGCTCAAATTTATTTCTTGAATAAATGAGTGTTTACAGGTTTTGATCAATAAGCTATTTTAAAATAAAAGTTGAAATATCATGTGTATATCAAACACCAGCATATAAGGGACAGCTAGAGATAGCCCTTCTGTTTTCCCAGGATTCCAGGAGACAACTAACACCAAAGGGCATAGGATCCTTTTAAGGGTCAGGCACACAAAATAAATCCTAGTACAGGTTGGGCATGTGCTGGTCATGGGAAGTGGTAGTCTGGAAACTTTGACCTGTGTAGCATGCTTAATTAGACTAGTCCATCTACAAAAGCCAGGATGTACATTCATAGCAAGCTGCTGTTTATCTAAATAGCTATATTGCCCAGTAGGTGATTATCAGAGTACTTTTAAAGTTCTGTTACTGAGTTTCCTTATACAGTTGGTGACAAATTTGTATTTACTCTCAAATCTGTAATTCGAGTGTTACCTATTTAAATTCTAACTAAAAATGGTCTTATACACATCTTTTTTTTTTTTTTTTTCTCGAGACAGGATTTCTCTGTATAGCCCTGGCTGTCCTGGAACTCACTCTGTAGACCAGGCTGGCCTCAAACTCAGAAATCCTCCTGCCTCTGCCTCCCAAGTGCTGGGATTAAAGGCGTGTACCACCACTGCCCAGCTTAAAAATGGTTTTATAATTTTCTTTTTTGGTATTAGAGGTGGAGCCCAGGGCCTTATGTATGCTAACCCTGAGTCACAACTCAGCCATTTTAACCTTTGAAATTTATACCATTTACTTGTAGTTTTCATAGTGGGCTACTTTCTTTCTAAAAAAGAAAACTAGTATTTTATCTTGTGTGTCTGCCACCTGTCTTTGCCTCAAATATCTGTATCTCCGCAACAGTGTCCCCCAATTGGCTCAGTCTTCCCTTGCTCAGAGTGGTGTTTTTGCCTGTCTGCCTGGCTTTGTGGATCCTGGTTCTATGGAGGTTCCTATGGACTAGGCAGCAGATTGAAGCTCTCAGTATTGTCAACACATAGGTGTCTATAATGTACCCCACTTTCCCCCTGTACTACAGACTAGATAGTGTAGGAGCATATTGGGTATTGGCTTTGATTTTATTAAATTTGGGTTTTCTCAGTTTTCTTTGTGGGTGGTATTTCTAGTTTGCCCTTACCTTTCTGTGAGACTAGGGGTCTTACCCTAAGTTCTGATTCCTACAGGCTGGTTAATCAATGGAAGAAACTGCAATTGGATCTTATTTTAACCACAAGTCAACTGTGATGGCTTGAGGCAGAGAACTATTGGGATAGTTAAGCAGTGTCTTTGTCCAGTGAGGAGTAGCATGGCCACAAGATTGGCAAATGTACACAGTCACCTTGTGTGATGGTGGTTAGTGTCTTCTGAAAGACTGGAGTGCTTGACACCCCCCCCCACCCCCCACCCCGATTCTTGTGTTTCAGAGAGAACAAATTGTGATTTGTCCTTTTATAAAATGCCTAGGAAGATCTTTCTGTAGAGATTGGAATAATTATGGCCCTTACTTTATAGAGGGATTCTTTTTGGGGGAAGATTAGAGACAGGGTTTCCCTGGCTGTTCTGGAACTGACTCTGTAGATCAGGCTGGCTTTGAACCCAGAGATCCATTTGCCTTTGCCAATCAAAGATGTGTGACACCACCACCTGGCTATAGAGGAATTCTTACCTTCGGCTGCAGCTAGGCTAGTAGTGCTGCTGTAACAGACATTAGAAGTTGGGATCTGCTGTACACCTGGCAGCTGCTGAACAACTCGCCCTCCCCCAAGAATAACTTCACCTTAAATAAACCAGGGTAAGGTGGATATGGTGACACACACCTTTAATCCCTGTATTTAGGAGGCAAAGGCAGTCTGATCTATAGCAAGTTCACAGGCTAGACTGAACTACATAGTGAAACCCTGTTTCAAAAACAAAACCCTCAAAAACAAAATGATTAAAAAAAAGTGCTTGGGAGGCAGAGGCAGGTGAATTTCTTGAATTTCTTGAGGCCAGCCTGGTCTATAAGAGTTCCAGGACAGCCAGGGCTACACAGAGAAACCCTGTCTCAAAAGAATAAAAAATAAGCATCAGGGTACCATTGCAAGTTAAGACCTTTTTTCAGACTAAGGATTTGATGATTCTTCAGGCATGTACTTATGGGACCTTTTCAGAGAAGATTTGTGGAGGTGGATGTAGCTTGCTTTTACTGATTAACTTGTGTTCTCTCACTTCCACTTCAACTCCCACCTTTTCTTTTTTGGGGTAGAATTCACATAATAGAAAATTAAAGGATTTTAAAGAGAATGATTTGGTAGCACTTAGTATATCCACAATATTGCACAACTACCTCCCTACCTAAGTTTATATTTTTGTCACCCCAAAAGGAAGCCCTAGGAGTACACAGTAAAATTTCACTTTCCATACATGGCTCTTGGCAACTCCTGAGCTTTTGTCTCTATGGAATTGCCTAGTGTGGATGCCTCATGAATGGAATTACCTACTGTGTGCATGTGTGTGTAGGTAGGTAGGTAGGTAGGTCAGGACAACTTTTGGGAATTGGTTCTCTCTCCCACCTGATATGGCTTCTGGGAATTGAACTCATTAGACTTGGTAGCAAGTTTCTTTACCCACTGAGCCATCTAGCCAGTGCCTGTCTCTCTGTTTAATTGTTAGTGCTTTTGTTATTTGATTTCCTTTCTTTTCCCTTCTTTTCCCTTTCCTTTGCTTTTTTCCCCTCTCTTCCTCCTTCCCTCCATTCAGAGACAGCACTATGTAGAATAGGCCGACCTTGAACTCAAATCTGAGCACAATGTTTTTAAAGGCATGTACCATCATGTCTATTCTCCATTTTTTTATCATTCATGGCTTTACGGTTTCTTTGGTTCTTTGGTTGTTTTTTTTTTTTGTGTGGGGGGGTGTTGAGACAGGGTTTCTCTGTATAGCCCTGGCTGTTCTGGAACTCATTCTGTAGACCAGGCTGGCCTCGAACTCAGAAATCCACCTATCTCTGCCTCCCAAGTGCTGAGATTAAAGGCATGTGCCACCACTGCCCGGCTGGTTTTGGTTTTTTGAGACAGGGTTTCTCTGTGTACTCTGGCATGAAACTCACAGAGATCTGCCCATCTCTGCTTCTCAAGTGTTGGGATTAAAAGCATGTAACACAGCCGGGCAGTGGTGGCGCATGCCTTTAATCCCAGCACTTGGGAGGCAGAGGCAGGCGGATTTCTGAGTTGGAGGCCAGTCTGGTCTACAGAGTGAGTTCTAGGACAGCCTGGTCTATAAGAGAAACCCTGTCTCGAACCCCCCCCCAAAAAAAAAAAAAAGCATGCAACACTGCCTAGCTGTTTATTTTTCAATGTTAAAAATTCAGTGCTATAATGAATAAAGCAGTTTGTTGGGGGAGAAAGTAGTAAAGAGGATGATTTGTGTGGTCTTTCCTAAAATGTGGTTAATATAGCTGTTAGCACAGCCCCAGTATGATAAAACAGCCTTTTCTTGTTGTTACAGATAGACTTACATGTGTGGAAAACCAGACCAGAAACACTTCTGAGTCGAGGTAACTTCACATATATAATTGATACTCATCAGTTTGTTTGTTTGTTTTGTGGGTTTTGTGGGCAGCTGTTAGAGGGCCTCACTATGTAGCTCAATGTCCTGAAACTCACTGTGTAGACCAGGCTGGCCTTGAACTTACAGAGATTTGGCTTGCCTCAGCCTCCTGAGTGCTGAGATTAAAGATGTGCTCTATGTCTCTGTCCTTTGGGAGGGCAGTTAGTGCTTTTAACCATGGAGTCATCTCTCCAGCCCTACAAAAAGATTTATTTATTTTTATTTTATGCATATGGATGTTTCACCTACATAAGTGTATCTGTATACTGTATGCATATAGTGCCTTTGGAGGCCAGAGAGGGCGTTGGATCCTGTGAAACTGAAGTTAACTGGCAGTGGTTAGCCCCATGTGGCAACTATTGAACCATCTCTTCAGCTTGTTGCCCCAACTCCTCCTTGGTGTTTCACCTCCACCTTGCAGTCAAAACAATCTTCCTGCCTCAGTCTCTTAGAATACTGAGATTACAGGTGTAAACCACCAACATCTGCCACTTCTCTATTTTAAAATTGTATTTGTGTGTTTGTGTTTATGCACGTGTGTAAAGTGCAGAGATTGATATCAGGTCCTTTTCTATATAACCATACAGCTTTTTTTTTAAAGTTTTATTTTTAATTGTATGTATGCATATTTCTGTGTGGGTATTTGCATTTGAGTACAGGTGCACTGAGAGGCCAGAGGGTTCAGATAGCCTTGAATCTGAATTAAACTCAAGTCTTCTACAAGAGTGGTATGTAGTCTTAATGTCTGGCAAACCTCTCAGACACTCCACCTTAGGTTTTTGAAACAGAGTCTTTCACTAATTCTGGGGCTCACTAATTCAGTTAGGCTGGCTGACTGGCAAGTGCCAAAAGAGTGTCTTCTTTTCTTTTCTTTTTTTTTTTTTTTTTTTGGTTTTTCGAGACAGGGTTTCTCTGTGTAGCCATGGCTGTCCTGGAACTCACTCTGTAGACTGGCCTCAAACTCAGAAATCCACCTGCTTCTGCCTCCCAAGTGCTGGGATTAAAGGCGTGTGCCACCACCATTGCCCAGCTAAAAGAGTGTGTCTTTTTTTTGTTTGCTTTTTTTTTTTTTTTTTTTTTTTTTTTTTTTTTTTTTTGAGAAGAGTGTGTCTTATGTAGAGAGAATCTTTATATATCTTGTGGAAGCATTTACCTATCAATAAAAAAGCCCATGGCCAATGAGCTGAGGCAGGAGCTAGGAGGTGGGAGTTCTGGCAGAGATGAGAAGGAGATGGAGAGAGAGGGAAAGAAGAATTCTGGACAAGAGTCAGGTGCAGGAGATTTGCTCAGGAATTCTGAGGAGACATAGAATAAATGGGTAATTAAGTTATGAGCTAGTTGGGGAACAAACCAAAGCTTATAGTGTAAGCATTTATTCATATGTAAGAAGTCTCAGTAATTTCGAGGAACTTGGGGTGGGTGAAAAAAAAACTCACCACATCTTAACCTTCAGAAATTGAGTTAGACATTTGTAATAATGCCTAACTTGTTACTATGTATTGTGTGTGCTAAGATCTGAACTCTGGTCTTCATGTCTGGGTAACAAAGCTTGGTTTTTTGGTTTGTTTTTGTTTGTTTGTGTTTGAGTCAGGGTTTTGAGTCAGGGTTTCTCTCTGTAGATCAGGTCTCTGGTCTCTGTAGACCATGCTGGCCTGGAACTTAACAGAGATCTTCACACACACACACACACACACACACACACACACACACACACGGTGGGGGGGGGTAGGTGAGGGGGAGCGTGTGTCGTTTGCCACCAGTGCCCAGCTAGGATATGTTCTTAAAACTTTCCAGCAGGTACTGGTTGTTTATAAGGCTGAGGCAGAATTGCCTGAAGATGGGAGATGAGACTAGCAAGAAGGACATGAGACCTGAGGGTTCTTTTTGGTGTGGTGTTTGTTTGTTTGTTTTGGGGTTGTTTGTTTTTGTATCAAAGCCCTTCAATTCTTGTTTAGCAAGGCTTCATTTAGGTCCCAAATAGCTTCTAGACTTGAAAAAAAAAATTTTTTTTTAACCACTTGGACTGCTCACTTAGGTAGGACTTGCTGAGGATGAGGCCTATAAAGTACTGAAGTACTGAGAGTAAGTGTTTCTGAGGCAATAGAGCCACAGGAGGCAAACTGAGCCACTTTATTTCTAATGCTTGGGATCTGAGCATTGAAATCACAGGTTTTTGTGTGATTTCATAGATTCAGTTCCTTAAATGGACATGATATTTAGCTTTGAATCCTCCAGTCTTCTATGGCTGGTGAACAGGAAACTTGTCTTTTCACTATAGTGCACTCTGGCCCATAGCAGGTGCTTAAGTCAGTGTAGATGAGTGAAGGAAGTTGTTTTTAGAGTAGAAAACATGGCATTGCTGAATTTTTAAAAAGTAACATTACCTTTCTCAGGACTCAGCCCTGACAGCACCATTAACACACAAATACATAGAAAACCAACTGTACCTGATTCCACTGCAAAAGAGTAGAATTTAAAAACTTCTAATGATGTTTGGTGAAAAGCTAGTTGTGTCCAGAAAAGATATCTTTGTTGCTAAGCACAGGTTGCACTTATCATTCCTTCCCTTTGATGGGGGAATTCTGCCACTTCATTTGATCTCAGGTGAGTTTCCAGAGGATCATATCTCAGACAGAGTTGTTGCTGAGAGGTTAGACCAACTTTCATTGTTTCCGTCAAGTCATTGTGCTTTGTACATGCAACTTTCTTTCACCCACTTTTCAAGTCATGCTGATACCTGGCCATGGCCTTCATGGAGTGTGAGAAATTGGAGAGTAAGAGTGGGCAGCAAGCTAAGATGTTAGACAACTGTGTTTTGTGGGATGTAGTAAAAGAAAGAGAAGTTTGGCAAGAGAATTAAAAGAAGATTCCTGAATATTAGTTTTTTGTCACTTTTGAAACATGGATATATCAGCCCCAAGATCTGCCATTTAGATGTTTAAACAAATTTGGGTAAGTACTGAGATTGCATCATACTAAAACTAAACAACAAGTGGCTGTGTGCTCTAGTTCCATTGGAACAAAAAGGTGCTGGCACAGGAAGCTTCATGTCCTTTAGAATTTTATTACAAAGTTGGAGATTTTTTTTTAAAGATACATTGGTCTGTTTGCATTATAGATTTAATGCATGTATGTAATGTCAAACAACGCTAAAATACTGACTTTTTTAAAAAAAAAAAAAACTTACTAAGTTAGGAATACTGGTGGGGTAGTTTGAGGTAATCCTTAGCTGCCTAGTGAGTTTGAAACCAATTGGGCTACATAAGACCTTGTCTTTAAAATATCAAAAATAATAATTAAAATAGAAGATTTAAACATACAGAGTATGTTACATGATCTCCCAGTTTACATTTACAGAATTCCGAGTTAGATCTAATCTCCTTTCTTCTATTTTCTAATCCTTTACTCTCTTGAAGTGGTTTTAAAGCAAATCCCCCAAATCCTGCTTGCTCCCCCCCCCCAATAAGTAACAAGTTAGGAGTTCAAATCTGTTAGGATATCTAGTGGGAAAACAATAGTTTTCTTCTGTCTTCTTTTGTCTGATTTTCTCTTCTAAAAAAGAATATATAGCTGATTTTTTTTCTTTCTTACATTTGTATTTTCAGTCAAGAATGAAGATTCAAAGTCTACAAATAATTTGGGCATGGGGAGGCAGGAGACAAATTTGAGACAGGACATTGATAATATGTAGCCCAGGCTGACCCAGTTCTCAGAGTCCTCCTTTAGCTTTCTGAGTGCTGAGATTAGAAGTGTGCCCACCTCACCAGATTTTTAAAAAATTATTTGGAAAACTTTCGGCAGATAAAATCACTACTAGCTCATAGCCAATCTTCTTATACATGTCCCTGTCCATTTCTCTACCTTTTGCTTGTTTTGATGAGACTCTTTCTTAAATCCTTTGTTCCTTTTAACATAAAATCATAAACGATGCTATTAATCAGGATTACACAGTGTTGGCAATTGCTTCTTTTTTTTTTTTTTTTTCTTGGTTTTTTGAGACAGAATTTCTCTGTGTAGCCCTGGCTGTCCTGGAACTCACTTTGTAGACCAGGCTAGCCTCGAACTCTCGAACTCAGAAATCCGCCTGCCTCTGCCTCCCAAGTGCTGGGATTAAAGGCGTGGGCCACCACCGCCCGGCTTGGGAATTGCTTCTTAAATAGCCCTTCAGCTATGCTGTTTGCTTGGGTTTGGCTTTATATCTAATCTCCCACCTTCCTTCTCCTTCCCTCTCTTCCTTCACATTGAGACAGTTTCTCATTGTGCAGTCCTGGTTAGCCTGAGACTCAGTATATAGACCAGGCTGACCTTAGACTCACAGAGATCTACCTATTTTTGCCTTCCGAGTGCTGGAATCAAAAGCATTGACCTACTGTTCTCAGCCATGGTCATAACCTTAAATTTTTTAGAAATTCTTGTCATTAGAAATAGCATCTGATGCCGGGCGTTGGTGGCGCACGCCTTTAATCCTAGCACTTGGGAGGCAGAGGCAGGCGGATCTCTGAGTTCGAGAGTTCAAGGCTAGCCTGGTCTACAGAGTGAGTTCCAGGACAGCCATGGCTACACAGAGAGACCTGTCTCGAAAAACCAAACCAAAAAAAAAAAAAGAAATAGCATCTGAGCCGAGAGGTGGTGGCGCACACCTTTAATCCCAGCACTTGGGAGGCAGAGGCAGGCGGATTTCTGAGTTTGAGGCCAGCCTGGTCTACAGAGTGAGTTCCAGGACAGCCAGGGCTATACAGAGAAACCCTGTCTCGAGAGAAAGAGAAAAAAAAAAAAAGCATCTAAAACCTGGGTGGTAGTGGCTGGCGTCACCTTTAGTCTTAGAACTTGGGAAGCAGAGACAAGCAGATACTGAATTCTCATGGTCTACAAAAGGAGAGTTCAGGATATCTAGAGCTACACAGTGAGACCATGTCTCAGAAAACCAAAAGAAAAAGAAAGAAAAGA